GAGAATAATGGCCTTTGCAAGGTCATATTTTCACTGGCTATTCAGATATCGTTACTAAGAATATTTGATCAAGAATTTCAGAAAAACAGACAATGCAAATATTTTATGACTTAATATAACCATTTAAGTTATACAAATGGTTATTTTAATTGTTAATACATTGGTTTCTATTAATATTTCATTGTAAGTTTCCATTGTGTTATAGCTTTTTGAGTCCTCAGTAAAATAGCAGAATGGATGATTATTTTGCAGTATATAAATTCTATAAACATCACTTCACCTCAATTTTTTTCTTGATAAAAAAATCAAAGATTTACTTCTCCTACCTGGGCAATATGATACTAACAATAATTATCAATAAGATCATTTATAATGGTGACATTATTGATAAGGATAATTGTTTGATTTTAATAAACAGATTATGTGAAAAGACACCTCAAAACATTGTATAGAGTTCTTGATTATACCATTCAATAGTAGCTTATTGGAGGGAATATTCGCATAATCATGCTCTCCTTAAAGCAATTCTAATTTTGTCAAGTTTCTGAACAAAAATCATGCTCATTGCAACATAATTTTAAGATTGTCTTCAAAGTTTTGAGGCACTCGATAATGGCTGGTCCAGTCCCATTCTTGAGCAGCTGATTTAAGTCCACTCTCCAACCACTCCCCCAATCAGGTTATCACACTACTGGGCCACTATTAACCTGTCCTAGTCATCTCAGGGTCAGATACCCAACAACTAGGAACAGCCCCTGTGCCCCTGAACCTGCAGATCTATTCTAAATGTCCAATCTTCAGGAACCATTGGAAACTTAATTATCCCCACCCTACTTTCTGTACATAAAACCCTTTCCTACAATTCTAGATTGTTGTTACCTTGTCCCTGGGTGCAACCATGTGTGTCTCCATGTCTCTGGGAAGTGTGCATATAATAAACCTACTTTTCATGGCCTCCCTGACTCCTCTTTCCTGCGCTGTACTTGACTTACCATCCCACGAATCTGTTACAGAACTCATGCTGTGTTAATGTTATCAGGCTATATCATAAAAATGGATTCAATTTCTCACTCATGAATCCTTATTTGAACATTTTTTTTCACGTCCAGGAAATATAATCCCTCAAACAACCTTCTGAATAATCAGGATTTTTAAGCAGTGCAGGTCAAATTAATGATGCCCAGAATATCTAACTATGGAAGGTGCTGTTTCTCCAGGTTCTTGAAGAAATTTGGTACAGTGCACTAGATTTTTTATCTTGTTTAGTATACTTCTCACTTGTATTTGAAACATTCTTTCAAGTTCTCAGAAGGGGGCTAACTTAGAATTCTGGAGCCAGATGCTTTAGAAAGTCTATGTATGAACCTTTGACTAAAAAAAAAAAAATCCTCAAGGCTCTATCATATCACTTTTTTAGATCACCAACGTACATAAATTCATTTCTAAATGGTGTTTTACAGAGCCACAGAAGTTGACTTTTGTCAATTTTCAATAGAGCCAAGAGAGAAAAAAAAATCTGTGAATCACTAGAAATCATTCTACAGATTAAGGATATATATAACCTATATAAAATCAAGTCATCCTCATGCAATGCATAGCTTGGTGGAAAAATAAGGAAAAGTTACCAGCTATAGTATCAACCTGGTCTAAATATTTAATGTACAATGAGAACTGTGATATTTGTCATTATTTAAAGTGAGACAGGGAATTGATGCACTCTGCTGTTAACTGAAAAGTCAGTGGCTTGAACTCACCAGGAGCTCTATGGGAGAAAGATGTGGTAGTCTGCTTTTGTAAAGACTTACAGCCTTGTAAACCCTATGGGGCAGTTCTACTCTGTCCTACAGGGTCTCTATGAATTGGAATCAGCTCAACAGCAATGAGTTTGTTTTTTTTTTAATCATTTCCATGCACTTGCAATATACAATAAACAATTCAAAATGAAAATTAAAAAAAAATTCCAGCTACAATAGCATCAAAAAGAAAAAATGTTTATCTGATGAATGGATAAACAAAATGTGGTATATCCATACAATAGACTATTATTTGATTATAAAAGGGAATAAGAAGCCCTGGTGGCACAGTAGTTAAACACCCAGTTGCTAACCAAACTGTCAGCGGTTCGAATCCACCAGCCACTCTGTGGGAGAAAGATGTGGCAGTCTGCTTTGGTAAAGATTTACAGCCTTGGAAAGTCTGTCCTCTAGGGTCGCTATGAGTCGGAACTGACTCGACGGCTAAGAGTTTTAAATCTATTTAGCCAACTGCCCTCTATGTGTTTCTACAGCACTTTTCTATATCATAACTTCTATACTTACATCTAAAAATTAGCATTCCTCTCCTTTATCAAGTCCCCTTAAGGGCTTTCTGTTTTTTTTTCTTCCCACACTCCTTACTGGAAAATTCTTTTGGCTATAATCAAACCTTCAGCTTTGCTAATAAGCATGACATATGCTAGACCACCCTCTTCCTCATTCATTACATAAAAAGCAATGCAAATAAAATTAACAGTTCCTTCTGCTGTAGACTAAATTATCACTTCTGGGTTAATCTGCAGACTACACAAACGTGATAGAGAATACATGAGTTACTTTATGTAAATAATAAAATAGACATTGTAGAGTTCTGTTATTGGCAAGGAGCCCTGGTGGTGCAACCAGTTAAGTACTTGGCTGCTAACCAAAAATTTGGCAGTCTGAACCTACCCCGTGGCTCCATGGGAAAAACCTGGCAATCTGCTTCTATAAAGATTACAGCCAAGAAAACCCTATGAAGAAGTTCTACTTTATCACATGGGGTCACCATGAGTCAGAATCGACCTGACGGTACCTAACAATAACAACAACGTTACTTGTCAGATTAGGTTAGGTGATGCTGCGATAATAAAAAGACCCCAAATCTCAGTGGCTTAAGACATGTCAGTTTATTTATCACTCTCAAAAAGTGTACATCAGTTCTCCAGGGCAAATCATTTACAGTGACTTAGGGATCCATGTTGTATCCATCTTCTAGGTACCCCACTTCGAACACACTGCTTCCAGGTCACCATGACAGGTAAAGAGAGAGCTGGAGAGTCATGCAGAACTTTTCACCGCTCCAGTATGGAAACAACATACATCACTTCTGCTTACAATCCCTCTGCTAGAACTAGTCAAATGGCATCATCTAACTAACTGCAAGGGGCTGGGAAGTAAATCAGAGCAGAGATATTTAACGAACTGTAAATGTCTTTGCCACATTCTACAAATAATATAAGCTATTTTTCTTAGCATTTTAAGAACAACAAAAATTTTTAAAGCTTTATATGGAGATGGATACAAAATATCTCCTAAGTTTACTAGTTTTGTCAGCATGTAGATATATTTTTAAGAAACAGCTAAAGTTGTGAAGTTCCAAGGTGATCTAACATGGCATTATTGTAACATTCCAGAATTTTATTGAGAGATTCCAGTATTTACACTGCAAAAATTTGGGGAGCTGACATGTGATTTATCTACTAGATGTTTTCTATCTTTATAATTTTACTTGTGATCCAAGGGAGCTGAAATAAAATCAGCTATTTTTGTTAAAAACAGCTATTCAGCCCCTTGTCCTGAAAAAATACTTTGTGTATACTACACTACAATTAGCACATTCTCTATAACAGGCGTTTTTTGAGACATCACCTTATAATTCATGTTATTCTTACATATATAGAAATGTAAAGTAAAACTAATTTTTCAACTCATTTTAACATTAGTGGTAAATGTAAATCAGCAACAGACATGAGGTACCAAATCTTAGTAAAATATGACACAGAAAGATCAACGATACCATTCTCACCTAAGTTTAACTATTTTAATTAAATATTAATGCTTAAGACAACAAACTTTTAAACAGCATACTCACCAAGATTTTGGCAGCAGTTTTATGTAACAATACACAAAGTACTAGAGGTCTGGCACTCAACTTGCTTACAGTAAACCGGCTTCAATATGAAGGCATTAAATATTAATAAAAAGAAAACTTGCTTTTTACATGCTAAATATTTCTGTAAGTGTGCAATTAAACACAATAATGAAATTAATATAACAAGAATTAGCAATTACACACTGGAAACTTGTATCCTAATCATAAATCATACTTAAAAAGGATCACTGGCTATATGGAATATTCCTGGAGAATTAAAACTTAATAGTATAAAACATGCAAAATATTTCAGAATCTTTAACTATCAATCAAAAAATATCAGGGTCTATTTAAAGTGATCCCCTCCAAAGGGTATCAAAATTAATTCAAATCATGTCACATTCTAATGCTATTATTCAGTACTGGTAAAGTGGAGGTAAATTTTATAAATTTGGAGGCTTACTCATGCTGTAAACTGCTGTCTTTTTTATTTACTTGAAGCAGCACACAACATCACAGAATGTCACTAAGTGAGAAAAGAATGGCTGCTGCATTCACTGCAACAATAGGGTGTGTAAAGATCAAAGGCACACTATTCAGCTGGCCAAAGTGACAGCAAACCCTGTCCCATTCAAACCCTTTCCCCATATAAACAAAAGTTTATTAAGGAAAAAAAATAAAATAAACTTACCTATAAAAGTAAGGATTTTGAGACATCGATGTTAAGTCCTTGCTTCAAAGATGTCAACTATAGTCATTTGGATATTTCTGATTATATTTTAAAGATATATCCAAATTAGATACATTTAAAATTAGATACTTTTTTTTGTCAAAAATACTCATTATCTAAAAGTTTTTACTTTAATTTCAAATGGAGTTTTAGCTCCTAGAAGCCTAGAAGTATTAACCACTGGAAGGAAAAACAAACAAACCCCTAAGCTGCAGGCAACAATTATGGCCTTTTCTGGCACAGAGGCATTGACTGGCTACTTAAAGTCCATGAATAATTTTACTAACACAGGAAAACTCATGCATTTTGGTAAATATGCTCTCACTTTCACAGCTGAAGTTTCCTTTAGAGCTTGCTTTTTTTAAATAAAGAAATCTGGTTTTTTCCTTGATATTATTCTGACTTGTGACTTGAACTAGAAGACTTCTTTTTCTTCTTTTTACTGTGTTTCTTGTGCTGTTTCTTCTTCTTCTTTTTTGCTTTTTCTCGCTCTTCACATCTTTTCTTCTTTCTTGCTTGTACCTCCTCTTCATAATCTGATTCTGATGAAGACTCAGATGATACAGGTTTATCCTCAGGATGAATCTTCTTTCTTTTTTTGCTAATATACTTTTCTTTCTCTGTTTCATCCTTTGATTTCTTTTTCTTTTTTAAGGATTCCTTGCTCTCTGGTTCAGATGCAGAGCTATCTGAAGATCTGTGTGAACGATTCTTCTTTTTCTTTTTCTTTTTCTCTTGTCTTTTATTCTCAGAATCTGAAGAACTGCTGGAAGAATCAGAGCTTGATGAAGAAGATGAAGATCGACTAGATTTCTTCTTCTTCTTTTTCTTTTTTTCTTTTTTTTTAGATGAGCTCACATTTCCACTTAATAATTTTTCTCTGCTTTTTTCTAGTTCTTTCTTCCAATTCTCATTCATTTTTTCTTCGAATTCAGCTAATGCTTTGGAGCCTTTCTTTTTATTTTCTAGTTGTTTTTTCACTTCTTCCCAGGTAGGTCTTGGCCGATTCAGATAATCTTGTATTGTTGGCCCCACTGATTGAGATGAGCCCTTCCATCTGGCCATTGCTACAGGATTCATATAGGCCACCCGATTATCACGCTTCCCCATGGTTGCCTGATGTTTGCCAGAAGAGACTCTCAATCAGCAAGGAGAACAAGAACAGACACTCTCCTTAAGTTTTTCATCCACCAGTATACCAAGCAGGCTCTATTCTGTAAGAGAAGTAGATAGAATAATTAAAAAACATTTAATACAAGGCAAAATAAACACACTGTGATGGATTAATTACTTTTGTGTGTGGCTTTTCTAGTCATAGTCTTGTAACTCCCACTCAGGTTGACTGGGTGGGGCTGTGTGATAGTGTAATTGTGGCCTTCCAAGGGGATCAGTCAGTTTTACCTTAAAAGAGAGTCAATTCCAGAGCAGAGAGGAGGATCCTACAACCACCAAGGAAGAATAGCCAGGAGCAGAGAGCGTATCCTTTGGATCCAGGATCCCTGCTCTGAGAAGCTCTTGGAAGCAGGAGACCGAGAGAGAGAACAAGCTTTAACCCTGAAGCTGGTGAGAAACGGTGGCAAGAGGGACCCAGCAACAGAGAACTGGCAGCAAGAGACAGTGTGGTAGGCTTCTTGGCCCATGAGAGAGAAAGCTGAGTGCCTCTGGGCAAAGGCCTAGGGCCAGAGAGAAGCGTGTCTACGAGCACAGTTCGGAAGAGGCTGTCCTGATGAAAGAACTGTATCCTGAGTGTTCCTGAGCCTGAACTGTAACTGCTACTTCCCTTATAATAAAACCTCATAATTGTGAGTATGGTCTTTGAATTCTGTGTGGCCACTGCAATGACTTATTGAACCCAGCAGAGTAGAGAGTGCTGTGGGAGGGATGGCTGGTGTCAGAGTTGGTAAAGATGGCAGAGAGACGAGGCGTGTCTGACCTCTGCCTCATAGGAATCAGCCTTGGGCTGTTGATCTTGGTTCCCTTTCCCCCTTGTAGGGTTGGAGGAGGTCAGACACTGCCCCCATGCCATTTTTACACACATCAACTTAACTATTCACTGCCTGTCACATAGTACAGTGGAAATTTGCAGAATCTTATACCTTGGGAACATATTGACATTTAAGATGTTTGCCTGGTTTAGACATTTTGTATGAACATAAACTTAGTATTTTGTATACCTCGTGTAAAGTTCTGACAGTTATCTAAAATGTTTAATAACTATTTCCTTTTTTTATATAATAATTACCCTCTTCCTTTCTTTCATTCCTGCTTTGTACAGTATAATCAGAGAGAAATTTCTATAGCTGAAATCTGTTCTAGGCAGCCTTTCTCTCTCTCAGGAAACTGCAGCACAATCCACTTCACTCCTTATCACAGAAATCTACGAGTCATGCCTGTCAAATCCTTCTTCAACTTTCACATCCAATCCACACTACTAAATCTTGCTGAGTAAACCTCTGTAATAGGTATCAAATCCATTCACTTCTTTCCAGACGTACTGTCATCAACTTAGTCTAGGCCACTATCAACTCTCACTTGAACTAATAATCTATAGTATCTATTAAGTGTTTATTATCTTCCAGGAACTACTTAGTGCTTTGCAATGGATTATCTCATTCAATCCCCAGATTAATCCTATGAATGTGATCCTATTATTATCCCTATTTCACAGATAGAGAAAGGAAGGCTTAGAAAATTTGAGTAACTTACATAAAGTAGCAGTGCTAATAAATGGCAGAACCAGGATTCAAACTGAGGCAGTCTGACTCCAAAACCTGCACACATAACACATTATATTGCCTCCTTACATCAACCTCTTAATTGATAACCCTATTTCTGCCCTTATTCCCTTCTAATGCAGTTCCACACTGTAATCAGAGGGCTCTTAAAACACTCCATTGGCTTTATATTTTAATGAGAATCAAATTCAAACTCTATAAAGGTCCTATATGATCTGTTTTGCTTATCTCTCAATTTTATCTGGAGTCACTCACCCTCTTTCTCAATTTCATCTCCTGCTCTCTTCTCTTGGTTCCTGGAACATGCCAAGTTCCAAGTTTAGCTAGAATGGCCAGTTCCACTTCATCCTTCAGGTCCCAGTTTAAATATCAATTCCTCAGAAAGGCAGTTATTAGGCTTACCTGTATAAAACTGCCAATTTTTTAGGACAAAAACAGTCAAATACTGGCAATTTCATAAGGTTAAACCTTATACTAAAATAGGTTGCCACTGTTTACCCCTATTCTCATTATTCTGTACTCCAGTTGTTTATTCATAGCACTTATTAAATTGGTCATTATTTTATTTGTTTGATTATTTGGTTTTGTGTGTATCTCCGCCACTAAATGTAAGACCAAGAAGGGTAAGAACCATGTTTCTTCTGTCTTATTCAAAATGGTGTTCCCAGTACAAAACATAGCATCTGGCACATACTAAGCACTCAATAAAAATTTGCTTAATGATGAACAAACAAATGAATGGATGGATGGATTGACGGATGAGCAACACTGGGAGAGAGGGGGATTCAGAGAAAACCTCCTGGAGTTGTTAATGTCTATACATGATTTTGAAGGATGAAAAGGTATTCACCCAGGAAATGATTCAATCATTCAAATCAGAGCAAAAATGTGGAAAAAACAAGGATTTGAAACAGCACCATATATTAGTGTTGATGGAGCATAAAGTATACGAAGGCAGTGGCAGTAGGTGAGGCTGCATTGACAGGAAGAATCCAGCCCTAAGCCTAATGCTAACTCTAGACTAGATAGGTCATTTTAAATTTCTTGGATTTTGCCCTATAGTTGGTAGGGAGACAAAAAGTGTTTTAAATAGAAAGATGATCAGACAGATAATAGATATTTCTGTCAGTCTCCATCTTGACTCTGATCCTTAAAGTCAACCTAACATACCTACCCATCATAAACTCAATGACAAAAAAATAAGATAAACTAAAGGCATTTCAGTACCTCTTCATGATAGTTTCCTGCATTTGATTTGCTGTGTTCTTCATCTTATTCATCTTCCCCTTCAGTTTGGTCAAGTTCTTCTTAGGTATTTCTGTCATTTTCATAGTTAATGCTACCCTAAAGACCTGCCAAATATCGTTTCCCTGATTGGACCATCAGACGCCCTTAAGGACTTTAGTTCATATTCAACTTGCTAGTACCTTTGCTACTGGAACTTAGAATAACATAAACCATTCAAAGCTCAGTTCCTTAAGAGGTAACCCTAATATCAGTTAGAAAGAAGGGCAAGGTCCAGTTCACAAAGACCTTAGATGTTATGCTGAGGCTTTCTGTGAGTGAAGTTAGTGAGAAAATAGTGACATTTTAAGCAGGAGAGTAGCATGATTATAATTGAGTGCTTCAGGAACAGTTTTTTTTTAGAGTGAAAGATGGATCGGAGGCAGGTAAGACTGAAGGCAATGAAACCACTTAAGGATTGGTACAGAGGAAAAAACGGAGGAGTCTAAACTAAAATAGTAGCACTGTGAATGAAAAGAGGGGGAAATGTGTAAGATATGGTAAGGGATTGTATTGAAATTAGTGACAAATTGCATAAGAAGGGAGGAAGTGGAAGGAATCTAAGATAAGGTTCTGGCTTGAGAGACCAGTAAAAGGCAGTGTTAATGATTAGGTAATAGAAATGGTACAGGCTTTGATAAAGTGCTCAGTTTTAGTAAAGTTTGAGGTACCTGTGAGATATCTGAATGAATCTGAATGTAGGAAATTGGACATATGGATGCTGGCACTCTGGAGAGTGATCTGGGTTAGAGATCTAGGATTAGTTCATGAGAGAAAATGAAATTACCTTAAAGGAGGATGTAGAATGAAAAAAGGTTTGAGCATTGGATCCAACAGAACTCCAACATGCAAGGGTTGGCAGAGAAAGAAAGACCTACAAATAACACTTTAGAAAAATAGTCAGAGAGGAAAGAGTCAGAGAACAGTATCAGAAAAAAAAGAATCACAGAAGGATAGGGAGAATAAAGTTTCTAATTGAGGACAATAATCCTCAAAGGTATATGCTGAATACATTTTATCTGAGCAATTATTAAATATCAAAACTTGGGGTGGGGGAGATTAAATGTTCATGAATAGGGAATGAGTTATATAAATTATAATATACAATGGAATACAATACCCACAACATACTGTTAAGAAGGTTATCAAAATGTAAACAGGGGTTATCTCTGGATATTAAGGAGAATATCATTCTTCTTCATGTTTTTCTGTAACATTTATATTTCTCGTAACAGGTAATCTGTTTATTTTCAATAAATCCAGAAAAAAAGAAGAAAAAGATGTAAAGTACAACAATATTAAATGCAGCAAATAGGTCAATAAGGTAAAATCTGAAAATGTCCATTATATTTGGCTATTGGGAAGTCATTAGTAATCTTCGCTAATGCAATTTCAATGATACAGTGAGGGCAGAAGCCAGATGACAGTGGGTTAAAGAGTAAATGGGAGGTGAGAAAGCGGAAACATAGAGAACCTAGGTTCAGTTGAGAATGAAAGTAAAGAGATAAGAATGTAACTATAATGAAGGATGTAGAGTTAAAGAAAATGATTTTTTTTTAAGCATGGAAGAAATGAGCATATTCATAGGCTGATTCAAAGGTTACGTAGAAAGACAAAGCATTTTTAAAAGCAGGAAAAAGAGGAAATAACTGATGTGGCAAAATCATGAAAGAAACAGGAATCAATGTCACAAGTAGAAGACATCTTTTCCTCCAGGAGCAGAGGTAAAGTATAAAGGAAGGGTATGGATGCAGTAGCCCTGTTGATGCAGTGGTTAAGAGCTCGGCAGTTCAAATCCACCAGCCACTCCTTGGAAACTATACGGTCACTATGAGTCAGAATTGGCTCAGCGGCAAAGGTTTGGTTTTTGGTTTGGTTATGGATGCGGTTTTTTTGGGGGGTAGGGGGTGAAATGGAAGAAGTTTAAGAGTTTCTCACATAATTGCTGCTTTTTTCACTCGGTGGTAGGTGCTCAGGTCATCTACTGAGACTAAGGCAGGTTAAGGTACCATAGGAATTTTGAGACCAACACTTAAAACTTGGAATAACTGCAAAGAAGAATGGGAGAGGGTGCTGACATCAGACAAGTGTTGTGGGAGGCCTTC